TCCATGATGTGTGTTCTAATAGATCATGTTTACAAAAAACATTTGTGTTTTTACCCAAAAATTTTCACTGCGTTACAAGTTATGGGACCGAGCGCCGATACGCGGCTGCTATGGGATGACCATTATCCTATCACCGCGAGGCATTCCTCCGTGATGCGTGTTCTAACAGATCATGTTTACAAAAAACATTTGTGTTTTTACCCCCAAAATGTTTTAGACGTTTCGTAGATGTGGGATGGGTATTTGAAAAAAAGCATAATTATTCTGTAGACAGTGCTTTATTTGTTTTTATACATTTTTTAATTAAATACTAAAGCTAACAGTTCACAATCCACAAGTTGGTTTTTATGGAAGCACTCGCTATCGCGTATTATTTTCGATACATTTTTATTATTCGATACGGTGGACGTGATATTAGAAAAATTGTGAAACTGTGCGTCGATTCTATCAATGACGCCAATCAATCGCGCGAACATTAAATCGATACATCGATCGAAGTTAAGCATGTTGAAGAATGTGGAAGCAGTCATCGCCAAGTGTACGTTGGATGCTTCCATATGTATAAGCGTGATGTTATCAAGAGTGCTAAATCGCACCGTCAGCGGTCCAACGACAATAGAATATGACGTATCCATGCACTGCTGATTGCCAAGATATTTCTCAACGTTAGATCGTTGCTCGCAGAGTGCCCTCCACGTTTCGGGAGACAGTACGAGTTGGTTTCTACGATGATTTCCTATCGCAATCTCGATGTAACTCGGCGGTCCAACGTTAACGCCTATTTCCAGATACTTGTACCCTGTAGTCGTTAATGCGTATCGTCGACATAGTATACGCACAGCATGACGCGCGGGTAAAACGCTATGGGAAAAACCAATCGTTACAAATATGGGAAAAATAATAAAACAATGCTATTAACTGAAAAATGAAACGTACTCAACACGTTGCTCCGTGCACGGTGTAGAATCGCCATCCTGAAGAGGCATGTAACAATTTACACGCGAGCTGCTTTCTTCAGCGGAGTACATTGCTGTTGATTATTCAAAGTTTCCACACAGACAGTTGACTCAATACTGAATGTATGAAAACGTGTACGACTCTTCGATTTAATAAAACCATGTGGGGAGGGGGAACATTTTCATGTGGGGAGGGGGAACATTTCATGCGTAAATGACAACGTCGCCAACGTATAAGATTAAAAAACTTTCAAATGATGGAAAATTCCCATCTGAAGGGCCTGATACCATTCTATGTGTTATTTTCCCTTTTTTATCTTTCAACGAAGCTCTCCCCCGAAGAGTCGGGTATCGGAAGGGATTTCCGTGTAAAAAATATTTGTTTAAAGTACAGAGAAATCGCTGACATTTTCTAAAATATTTCTTAGTTACATCTACAATTCTGTATCTCGAACATTCCACCGCAGCGTCAGGCCCAGTCCTTTCCCTTTCCCATTTGTAAATACACAGCATGTAAATACACAGCGTGTAAAGTAGGAATGATGATAATGTCCGAATCGATTTCTATCTCGAATACCTGGATAATCAGCATTACTAGTGTAATGAATCATAGGGAGATACACATGCAAATACCCCTACTCTCTTGACCGAAACAAATAAAGTAGTGTCATAGGGACACTATAAAAGGCCCGATTCTCAAAATGCAAAGCTCAAAAACGTATCGACAGCCAAGGGAACGTGCTCCCAAATCGTTCCGAAGCCGACCACGACATCGAGCGGCGATCTCGTTTTTTTTTTGAAAAAGGTAAGTTCAAATTATTAATTAGACGCGAGCAGCGAATACGAGCTCGGTCTGAGACTTATATACATGATTGTTTACAGAGTTATGAGGTCTCCAACTCCAGACTCGAGGAGCGAGGAGGAGAAGCTTGAGTGGTACGGCCCCATAGACGGGGTCGTGCCACAACAACATCCAGACACATATGACATATACCTTAATGGTATATGTTCAAAGTCAATCGTGGAGGAGTTTTACATCCATGAGGATGGTGACAAGATGCGGATGTGCATCGAATGCTTTAATTTAATGGGGAGACCCGCAAATTATGTCTCCAAATCACGGTGGCACGGGTTTTGTGCGCCAACAGAATAGATTATTACACCTAAAATGAGTTGTCATTGCTGCTACAAATGTCTGACGATCGTCGCCCCAGCAGTCTCGTGTCGAGACTGCTTAGAAACATTTATTACAAACAAATACAATTACGATTTAGCGGCGTTATACAGGGTGAGTTAGTATAACCT